AGATAGAAGTTTTGTACTAGCAAATGTCACCTACAAAATGTACTATTTACTTTTCAAGAATACTGCCTCAATTCGTAGTTTTTTTAAGCTGAAGAAGGCGTAGTGAAAGTTTATGTCTTTTTTTTGGTCACGTCCCTAACGCTACTTTTTGCTGGTAACTTCTCTAAACGGAGAGTTATATGGCTGAATTTTTCAGGCTACATAAGGTAACTTAATATGCTTATGTCATAAAAAAACTAGCTCTAAAGAAGTTTTTTAACCAGAGATATAAGCATTCTAATTTTGCGACGTCACGTCCCTAACGAATGGAATTGCCCATATATAAACGAAAATTATTAGAACAGTTTTTAAATATATTTCTTCTATTGATTCTATTTTTCAATCACTAGTGTTGGTTTTTAACGATTTCCAAGAGTTTAATGATCAAGAGACATGCGCCTGAAAGTTTCCAACGAACAAATTTCTAGTCATCATTAAAATTCTAACTCTACATATTAAACTAACACTTTTTTATTATATGATGCGAGCGGCGAATTATGTTGAATAAATCTATTATACTCAAGAAAAACTAGCTAGGTATAGTAAGTTAATTTCAGGTTAAACTAAACATTTTTCACCTAGACATTTCGAACACAATTTCCAGAACTACGTTTAACCAATTCACATAGAACTTCAACAGCTAGTAGTTTTCAAGGTCTTGCCTATTACTGATACCGATTTCAGAAAAACAAGGCGGACACAAATTTTTTTAATAATTTTTTCTAGATACCTGACAGAGATGTGGTTTTCACATTCACAAAGAGATGAAGACCTATTAGATCGTATGTTACAAACTTTTTTGACCTGGTTCTCTTAAATTTTTCAATCGACATTTCTCAACTACTAACATACTCTCTGAGTTGTCTATAGTGAATTGTCAATTATCAGATGTGCATTCAAACTGCCAATGAGTGATTTACAAAATTATGCCAGCCTAAGATTTTTAGATTTAGTTATTCAACAGTCATCTCTATTCTAGTCGAAATTCGCGGCCCATCTTTCAAATAATAACCGTGAAAAGCATCATATTTTAGTTTTTGTTCCTACGTTAAAAGAAAACATTTTCTTCTTATTTTTTTTAAATTTGATTAACGAAACCTGAGAAAATATCTAAGAAGAACATAAAATACATGATTCCATGCGGCCTTCATCTCCTCTTTCCTATAGTGAAAAACGCAGTGCTCTATCTTGTTTCAATTCAGAGTTATTCGAAACAGACTCATCTACTTTATTTTTAATGAGCATTAGTATCATACATCTCTGTGAATATATTTAGATATTGAAAAACTTTTAAAATAGTAAGGTTAGTATAAAAAACGTACTCTCTTTCTACCGACAATAGTATCCTTTTACGAATAGGAATGCCTTTCAGTTGTATTAATGATCTCAAGAATACATCTAACTTATTAATTTTTAGTTGCTTCAAGTTAATAAATGAAACATGATAGACTTAAATAGGTTTCCTTACTATGATAAACTTCAACGGTTCTATGAATTTCACATTATATGTCCTCATGCAAGTGAAGTACTATACTGTTTCTCGAAAGAACTGATTGGGTAATTGATATATCGAATGCACTAATTAAATCAAGAATTTCACCCGGCGAGTTCGATCGGTTTTAAATAATGCTTATAAAAAAAAATAACTTACTGCTATGTGTTGCCTTTTCATGAGTAATATTCGATGGAGTTGTTGTTGTCGTTGTCGGAAGTAAGGATGATGGTTTAGTTGTTGTATCAGCCATGATGAATTTCGGTAAGTTTGAAAAGATTGATGGCGCTGATGTCGTTGTTGTTGGTATTGAATTAGCGATTGCTGGTTGTGCTGTTGGTATCGGTGCAGATGCAGAAAATTGAAATGATGGTACATTTTGTGACAATGATACGGATGGATTGGCAACAGTTGAAGGAAAAAATGGAAGATTTGAACTTGTTGTGGCAGTTGTCGTTATTGGCATACGCACTGTAGCAGGTTGTTGTTGAACAGAAAATGGAATCGGAGGAGGAACATGAGGATGAGAAGATGGTGGCGGATGAGAAACTGGTATTGGTTGTTGCGGCATATAATTTGGATAGTAAGATGGTGCATAATGACTTGGTACAAAATGAGATTGCTGATTTAATTGTTGCTGTTGTTGAAGAGCTAATACTCGATTTGAAAGTATTTCGACAATGTTCTAAATATACAAGAAGATCGAAATAAATATGTAGAAAAAAAAACAAAACGAACTAACCTTAATTTCGAACAATTGTGATGAAATATGTTGTGAATATTGAGATAAATTTTGTATTACGTTTGTTTGAACATTTAAGCAGTTGACAAGCTGCTCATTAAGACGTTCATTAAATGTTGTTGGTGCTGGTTGTGACGGTTTCGAAGATGGAACAGACATCTTGAATGTGAAGCAAACTTTAAAGTCAAGAAAATAACAAAGAAATGTTGCCTTCCAGAATTTGTATTTATTAACTTCTCTTTCTTCTGTTGCACAATAACTAAACTAAGAATGGATGAGTCAAACAATGGATAAGAGAAAAAAAAAGGCCATATTTTTTTTCTTGTGTAATATTATTTGCAGAGCCTTCTTATATGTCTTATGCAAATATTTTATTGTACAATCGATAGATGTCATGACTATGCGAATAAGAAAAATAGTCAAATGACGTCATTTTGAATTGTTGATAATCCACAACAAAATTATAACAACTTAGAAATAATAAAATTATATTAAATAATGGGCAGTACTCTGGGATACAAGAGGGATATTCATATTTCTGAAAAATGGAGATTACGAAAATGTCTGTCAGCTGAACAGCGATATGCCAGTGCAAATCAAAAGTTTTCACAAATGTTAGAAATTGCTGAAGTGACATCATTTTGGAAAGTACTGAATAATTTGGAATATACGTCTGTGAAACTTCCTCTTTTTTTCCTGGAAATCTAAGCAATGTTGAAATAAACTGACGTATCATTATAATAAAAATGAAAAATTTTTCGGGAAGTTCATGAAGACAATTTAGATCCTCTTCTGTTTTTGAAATGATGATATCCAAAGAAATTGTGAATAAACTTAATTGTTTATCTTAAAATTTTCTAAAATCCATTTATATTGATGAAAACTTTCAACTAGAATGATTACTTTATTTTAAATGCTAATTAATGATTAGAACCATGCAGAAGACCAAGGTTTCTATTTGTGGTTGTAATCTCAAACTCAACAAAATTAGATTAAGAAATCCTTAAACACTCTTTTCAACTCTTGTTGCTTCACTTATTTTCCTGAGTTGTGTTTTGACTGATTTAACTTATACGATAATTCACTTGAAAACCACATACAGATTTTAGTCCCAATCCAACTATCTACTTACCATATTAGATGATTAAGCCAAATAATTGTTTTAGTCATTGTGTAAATGTCTTGTCACAATAACAGAGTAACATTTTATAATTGCCTATCAATCAATGAACTTCACCACTATTCTGATTAGTAATAGTTAGAAATACATGATCAGATACACTGCATTATTTGTAAAAAAAGGTTCTTTTGTTATTCGGCTTTTGTCGTGCTAGTTAGACAAGGAGAAAATTCGTTAGACAAGATCATTGGCCGACAAAAATAGGTAACTTTAATTTAAAATGAGGGCAATTTTGTGCCTTTTCTGGGCATGTCTAAAGAATGTTCTACCACTAATTTCAAGCCATTTAAGCTCAGACGTAGAAAACCACTAGATTAATTGACCCTCCAAAGGAAACTTCTTTTTACTGAAAACTTGACCCACATAGAAGTATTCCAGAACAAGTCGATTTTTCGTGTTTCTTATACTTTTTCTAAAACTACTGTGCTATTAAACATTCTTATCTGGGTGAAATCTCCATAAAAAGAATCATTCTTCAAAGATTCTACTACTCTTATGGCTTTTGATTCATGAGTTCAAAAGCTTGAAATTACTGGTAGAATTGTCTTTAAACATTCTCAGCAAATCTCCGAACTTTTCATCACCTCAGATGAAAATCAGCAAGTTTTTTGGTCAATACTCGTTTCGGAGTACTTCGGATCTAGCTATCACGATAAACGACGAATAGAAAAAAAAAGACTTGTTCCAAAAAATTGGTTGAATATCCATAGATTTATTCTTTTTATGTTTCAGACAAAACTCAAACAAATTTTACATATAGATTATCTATATTAATATCTTTGCATTGTTATACTAGTTAATAGATGCTATCGACTTTGAGTTACTCGTGAACCAGACCATTCGCTTTTAGGCTCGACCTCCATCAGAAACAAAATTTGGTTTTAGTTCTGGATTCTCGACCATCCTGTTCATACTTGTGTTGAGCGTTAGATCAAAAAAGCTAATACAAAAATTATATGAATACTTATTAAATAAATTTTCTTATTAATACACTAAGAAAATGTATTTAGCAGGTCATGTCGTCAATAATCTGCTAGTCCTAACTTCAAGGAATCATTTCAAAATGACCTTGGTATAGGGATACAGCTAGGTGGTTAACGTTTCTGTTTTTTTATTGAATTCTTTCAGTTACACCACATCCCAGGTCAAACAAGCCCGGTCGTAAACGGCCGTTTTCAATTGTTTTTCGCCCGTTTGGTATCGACCGTATTTCATTGTGTTGTAGATGAGTGTAAATGATATGATACTCGCTTTTCAGGCCCTGTACAATACGTTGAACAACGGCTACAATATGGTCCTTACCAAAATGTCAATTTACAACTATTTGAGACCGTAAATTATATAAAACGACAGTATACGTCATCGTTTTTGGCCGTGATGGCGGCTATAATCATTGTCCCGGGATGCAATAAAACTTACGTATTATTCCATTTGGTAGTCTATCAAACTACGTACATTGTTTTGATTAGAAAAGATTTTTTTTTCAATTAAACCTATCAAAAAATTCAAAGTTTTCATGTTTTTCATTTAATCTTTATTTATTGTCTGCTGATGGTCGTTTTCATCATCACGGTGAACCAAAATCAATCTTTAAAACGGCATGAAACCACGTATCGAGATTCCTACAAGAGCATAATTAATACTTTCATTATAATATTGTTTTTTTTTTCTCAATTTTGTTCAATCACTTTTTTATATGGCATAATCAGTAGCAAAGTTCTCGTAAACCTTTTATTTAGGGCATACTAAAACTAATGGTGTTGAGGCTTTAATACCGCATTATAAGCTTTAAGAAATTTTTCTCTATATAGCCTGATAGAGAAAACAATTCTCTATTTTTCTATGCTATTTCATCATACTTCAATTAATACCATAATAATAAAATTTCAATAAGATGTGTTTTTCTATCATATGTCACGGTTATGGTGATGCCTATTCAGTCAATATTTTTTGAATAATTTTTGATAATAATAAATTAGAGAGTTGCGATTTTCAGCGCTCGAAAGAGGAAGTGAAAACGCATCGAATTAGATCTTGTATATTTTCCTAGACATCGTCTGAAATTTCTTAAATCAATTTTGTCAATATGCAAAAAAAAATTGTTTTTTATTTCTTCACAGAAATTCCTAGAAAAATCACTTAGAGCATCCACTAGAACATCTATTACTCCTGAATCATTAATTCAAAATATCAGAAACTTCTTCAGTTTTGTAGGTCATCCATCGATAGTTTGAATGCACAGCTGACAATTGAAAATTGCCTGTCAACACCTTATGCAGTAGGTTTGTTTTCAAAGAAGTCGATTGAAAACCATTAAAAAGCCATGCTTCCAAACCAATAATAAAATTCGACGCATTCTTCATTTCCTCTTTCGAAAGGTGAACATCGCAGCTCTATAT